AACCAAATAATCAATATTTATCAAGAAAAACAGCAGTGTTCAAAGTCTTGGAAATGTCTGACATGAGTCAGAGAAAAACAAAAAACAAAAAATGCTTCTGTCTTTTGATAGTTTGATCTGCAGTTCAGTTAAACATAATACTTTAAAGTGATGTCATGTGCAGTCTTTACCCTTCCCCCTCTTATGATGTTTCTTGTGAGTTTATCTGTGCTGTTAATATTCAAGACTGGAAAGGCGTAACTCGTGTATGAGAGACCGTGAGGTCAAAGGAAAAGCAACACGGCTGTACCTGCCATTATCAACCACATGCTCCATGTAAGGCACCTGTTAAGACCTCTAGTGACACCTTATCTGCTACAGCCACCTAACTGCTGTGATCGAGTCTTTTAAGGCAAAAATAAAACTGAGAAAATAATGGCTGTTCTTTACCTCCGCCCAAGAGGGTAATCCAGAGAAGGACAAGGCAGGGTCTCAGAGAGAGCATGCGCTTGGGAGTCAGGTAGCAGGATTTCAATTCCTTCTGTGGGTCCTGTTTTCTGGGTCACCTCAAGTAAAGTAGCTTTCTCTGAACTTCATTAAATTTTAAAAAAATTATCTTTGCATAAAAAATCATTTTTAAAGGTTCTTGTGAAGAAAGACAACAGTGACGTTATTGCTAACCTCATGTTTGTATCATACGAGTATATATACACATACACACTCGTATGATACAAACATGATGTTAGCAGCAAACAATGTCACTGTGGTAGCTATCAACTTGATTCCAACCCACGTGGACTCCTATATGTTGCAGAGTACGATGGCTCCATTGCGTTCACATGGATGTAATCTTTATGGAAGTAGAAGTTCATCTGTTTCCTTACATGGTAGCAGTGTGGTTTGAGCCACCACCCTGCTGGCTACCATTTGTCCATCTGTGGAACTGCAAGAAACAAGACATTTGTTTCTATGTGCCCAATCAGGTCCTTCCTTTGGGAATCCTCTGCTACTTATGTTGGCTCTCTGAGGCTTGAGGGATCCTGTCCTGGTGACAAGCTTGTTAACCACTGTGGAGAATATAGAGATAAATATTGATCATGTAATTAGTAGATGTTTCTCTCCTCCTCCCCTGCTGTCTCTTACTTTCTCCTTCATATCTGAGATCAGGTATGCTGTTTATGCCTAAATTAGGGGTAGAGATGAGAATAGGATTTGGATCTTGAAACACAGGCTCAGGTTTGCCAACCATACCATATTGCCTCTGACCCTCAGTGAGGTCACTGAAATTGACAGACGGACATGCTTCCAATCAGAACATGGCCCTGTCTTCCCATTTGGGAATAGCCAGTGACCTCTTATTTTTCTTTCAAGTTTTGGTACAAATGTTTCCTTTTGTGCATTCCCTGAATGTACCAGTAGACAAAGTTGTCCCCACGTTTGTTTCTCCAGAGCTTTCTAGAGTCCTCACCTCTCTGTAGCTCCACCCCAGATTGTTTTGTGTCTTTCTTGCTTACACATTTTTCTGTGAGTTGCTATAGCAGCCTAGACTCTGGCATGTGGTAGCTGCTCCACTATTTGTCGCACAGATAGTGAACAATTGGTGCTTCTCAGACTGGGGCCAGGTGTGGAGTCATCAGGCTCGCTTGTGACAGAAAACTCTTCAGTCATCTCTTCCCCCCACCTCCCCC